GGGTGGCTCCCTTCCACCCCTAGCTACGTACAATAACTGTAGCATTCCCAGCCAGCAGTTGTAGGTCATTCACCTCAGAACTCCTTCCTCAACACTACCATTCACAACAAGACCAAACCCCTTGTGGGCCAACACTCAGTGATAGCAGAAGAATAAAAAGTCTGTTTGGCTGCCAACCGTGGTCCCAGCAGTAAGCCAGAGGGTACCCAGGTGGTTTTGCCACTGACAAGTTCTGCACTTCCTGGTGCAGTAGTTCTTGTTTTTGTCCTGCAGTACCCTGCTGTGCCTGTGCCAACTAGGACCTTCATACTGCTTGTAGATGTCCACTGTTTGGTGCTCCTCTTTGGGGGTTTTGATTTGCAATTTAAGGAAAAATATAAGGCTGCTCCCTCTCTCCATTTAGAGAATCATAGTGTTGGCAGAGACATCAAGAATCATGCAGGATTTGCTATTCTTAAATCATCCCCTGCAAATGGTTCTCTCTAAATTCTCCTTGAAAGCCTCCAATGAAGGAGATTGCACAACTCCCATAAGTGGCTCATTCCATGGTCTTCCTATTCTTACAGTTAAGAACTTTTTCCCGAAACCCATTGCTTTGTGTGTTCCCCATTGTTCCCCTACCCTCTGTGGCAGAGAACAATTATTCTCCACAGGGCAGCTTTAAGTATTTGAAAGCTGCTATTATGTGTCCTCTTGACTTTCTTTTTTTAATCTAGTTAAGCATACCTTACAGCTTGTTTTCAAGCCCCTTTATTATCTTTGTTGCTCACCTTTGGACCCTCTCCAGTTTGTCTGCATCTTTCTTAAAATGTCGTACTGAAAACTGCACCCAGTACTACCCAACCTGCTTGGCACCAGCTAGAGTGGTACCGTCACCTCCCGTGTCTTGCAGTGGTTCTGTTAATGCAACCCAAATTTGTATCTGCTTTTCTTATGCCAACATCTCATTGCTGATTCATGCCAAGTCTGTGATCCACCATAAACCTCAGATCCTCCCAAATACTGCCAGGCCAGCTTTCCCATTTTCTCATTAGTTTTTCTTCCCTATATCTATTAATAATCAATTATGCACCCACCCAATCTAGCCCATGTTTATTCCACTTCCTTATGAGAGTGGCATTTTGGGCTGTGCCAAAAGGTTTTCCAAATCCAAGTACATGTCCGCCACATCTCCTTTTATCTACCAATGTGGGCTGTCCTATCCAAGAAGGATGTTCAGAACAAATCCTATCAAGCCATCTTAACAAACCTATGCTGGCTAGACTTGTTCACCCTTTCATTTGCCAAATGGCAACAACTTAACACTCGGCTAAAGATGCAGCAGCATCCTTTGTAGTAGTACTGTCAGCACTAAGTATTATACCTTTCCCCCTTTGGTTAATTGGAAAATGAACCAAATGTTTTTTTACTGCCCAACATCTCAGGATGGCCAGGCAGTCTGCCATTCGTGCAGGTGTCCATGTTGGTCTGCCCACCCAAATCCTATGTGCAGCCATGGGGACATTACTCATAGTGTGCTTACAATCAACTATCTGCAGATTAGAGGGTGGGAAAGTACCGAAGGACCATGGACCATTCTTTCTTCACAAGTCATTTTTCTATTCCAAGTTTCAGGAACATGTCAAGGTGCTGCCAAATTCTCTTCCGCATCCTTCTGAGACATTATGGAGTCTCCTTGCTGTTTGCCCTTCCTTTTCCCTTTAGTGAATCTGTACAAAAAACACTGTATACAGCAAAGGAGATAACTCATTTTTTCCTTCAGCAAGGATGAGTTATTTAGTTTCTTGATTTGCTGTGTAAAGTCCCCTCCAAAGAGGCATATATTTATTTGAGGGGGCTTTTTTCCCCCCTGACTTTTTTTCCCCCCTCTGTTCCTGGAGCATGTACAATCCAGTGCGGCATCTGATCATCTATACTGAACTCTTTGCTCTTGGATACCATGCTACTATGTGATGAGAGCAGTTTTAATTACTTCTGGTTTTTGCCTTCTACAGGTTTTTTTAAGTCTAGTCCCTAGCACTTTTAAATGAGCCGTTTCACAGTTCTTGCTTTCCACAGTTGTTTCTTGTGTTCTCTACAGTGGTGTATTATTCCAGCCGGGATTGCTGCTCAGCAGAACTCTGTTTCAAGTTCAACAGAGCAAGTTCTGGATAACAGCTGGGTCACTTTCTAGTGAAAACTTAGGCCATGGGACAGATTCTAATGTACCTGGTATCCCTTTGCAGTGGTAAATGTCACCAATTTAAATCCTGCAGTACAGTTTTTCCTCCCTTCAATAATTGTTTGCTATGGATCAGACTTATTTCAGATCCTGAGCCTCACCTGATAGGCGTCTTCAAACATGGAGTAAGAGATGTCTGGCGGCTCTTGATGTGGATGTTCGCATACAGCTGTGATGATTTCCTTCCAGAGGTCTTGCCTTTTGCCACAGGTGGGTCCAGGAGAGGAGTGAGGGGGTGTGTGGCCCACCCCCTCTGCTCTGTGGGCTCCTGCCAGAGCTCAGCTTATATGGGAAGCTCTCCAAGATCACCAGTTGGTATGGGCTCTTGCCAGCGCCACTGGCTTTCACATGGCTCTGAAACCCAGATGATGAGCACTGCCACCCCCAAATTCAGCACAGGGATGGTGAGTGGGGGGAAAGCAGAAGGGGGCAATGGCAGAGACACACATCCCTTGGGCTTCAGACCTGTGCAAAAGCAAATGGCTCCAACCAGAGCCTGTACTGACCAGCTGGTGAGCTCAGAGAGTACCTCTACATTCCCCTGAATCCACCCCAGCCTCTCGTCTCCTTTCCAAGCTGCAGTTTAGTTCTACCTTCGCTGAGCAGGAAGTACAGTGAATCAGAGCCAGGAGCCAAGCCACAAAGCCAGCAGCCTCTTCACCTCTGCTGCTACTCTTCCTCTCAAGCCTGAGTTTCCACTTCCTCCTCCATCACCATCACATGCACAAGGCATAGCAACTGCCAGTGCTTCTCCTGTCCTCTATGGGGAAGCTGTCCCACCTAGTTTCACCTGTGACTGATCCACTGAGGCTCTGAATTCAGCCAGGAATTGGTTAGTAGCTTGGAGATGACATGGTCTTTGTAAAATCTAGCAAGTAGTTTAGCTGAATTGGAGAGCTCTAGGGAAGAGGAATGATTCTGCAGGAGCCTGCAGTCAAAGGAGACTTGGTTCACATGTGCTATCAGGCAGAGAGTCTACAGAGTATAATCTTTTAGCAAATAGCTTCTGCAGAAAGTCCTGGGTCAGTTAAGATCTGGGGCAAGGCATGTGCAAGATGCTGAACCTGTCAATTAGTTTTATTTAGGATGCCTGTAACAGGACAGTGTTTTTTGGTTCCTGGGCTGGTTTACACACCTATTGATTTCATTGGTAGCATACAGACTGCATGGTTAGGCCCAAAGTTTGTACACCAAGGAGACTTAAGAGGGCTAGTTCAGCATGTATAAAAGGGTCTTGTCAAATAAAATATTACAAGTGCATTCCTGTAAGCCAGTTGTGCCTGCTGGAGCCAAATCTACATACTGAAGACTTGGAAAACAAATGGCCTTAAGAAGTCATTAAAACTTAAAGTGTTCTAAATCTTTTATTTATGCTTCTTAACTCTATTGTAGTCAGTTGCATTTTGGGGATCCCATGCTGTACCTGCAAACAGTGCAGAATATGAGGCTTAATAAAAAGTGGCTTCACGTTTTGTAAGAAAAACTAAACCTTCCCATTTCAATTTCTAGATAAGTTGCTTTGAATTTTCCATATACATGAATATAGAAAAAAAAAAAAAAATAGACCAAAACAGACTTTATGAAGCCAAAGTAATTAACTGTGGAAATCAAATTAGGACAGGAACCATTGCTATCAAGGCCAGGTTGATAGAAAAAGAACAGTTCTCATCTTTTATCCTTATAATCAGATATACTCAAAAGGATTATTGGTCTTTAAAAATAAACTGGAAACTAAGCTAACAAAAATCAGTGCTAAATTTATGCTGTTAAATATAACCAATATAATTGTTGGGACAGAATATATATTTTCAAGACAATTGTGCAGCCTTATCAGCTACTGCTGTGTTTAACTCTTCAGGGAGCCAATACACCAGTAGCAGAGCCAATCCACCCATCTGAGAAAAATGCCTCTTGAGAATCCAAGGAGACATAAGAAGCTGCTGCATCCTTTAAAACTGTGCAGTCTACATTCCTTATGGTACTCATCTCAAATCACAAGTTGCTTCAGAGCCAGGGAAAGAAGCATCATCCCACCCAACATATCCTTCTAGAGTACTCTGAATAGCTGATGGCTGTCACAGCTTCCTGCCAGGGAGGTGTTACAGGTTGCCCTCCCCAGTGGCATTTTAGTGACCTATGAGGAGCACCCTTGAAAGATAGAAGTGAAGCATTAAGGGACTTCATCTTGTATCCTGCCTTTACTCATCTGTCACATCTTGTAAATATTATTTAGATGTTCTTACAAGTGGGAGATTGCCTATTGTACTTCTCTGTTGGGGTTCTCAGCCATCACAGGGTTTGCCCCCCTGTCTTTCTCTGGAAAGGCCTACCAGCCTAAACCCACCAGGTAGGGTTTGACTTTGAGGCTCTAGCTCCTTAATCCTCTCTAGGCCCATGGCCCTCCTTTTGGCACTATGGTGCCAGGCCTTCTGGCTCCCTTACACTCTCCTCCCCTGGATGCCAAGTTGTTGGGTGCTCTGCCTCCTCAGGCTTGGCCCTCTCTCATAGCTCAGGCTACTAGCCAAGATCCCCCCACTAGGACCCAGCTTCAAAATCCTGCAGCCAGCTCTGAGCTACTGGCCCTACATGGCTGCACCCCCTACTGCACTAGGCCCTTCAGCTTTTTATGACTGCACCCCAAGGCGCTAATGAAGCCTCCTCTTCCCCTACAGCCTCAACCACAAACCACCAGTCTATCAGTCAAAATACAAACAGTAAGTCCATGGGCAATAACCACAAAAATAAATAAATAAATAAAGGCAGCAATATGCCAGCTTACATTTTTTCATGGCTCTGTGCTCCTGCTTCCCACCACCTGTTATGCTCCTCCTTGTGGGACTGCCACAGCTTCTCTAGGAGTCATCAGGAGTTCCCCCTACAGCAGCTGGACAGGCAGCCAAACCCCTCTATGGAGCACTTACACACAAACTCCCTCCCCCTTAGCTGCTGCCCAAGACCTGCTGCTAAGTCCAGGGCCAGCCCCTTTCCAGTCACCTGACTAGCCAGCAAGGTTCAGCTTTTAACCCCTACCCTGCCAGCAGGCTGTGCCTGGAAAGTTCTGGTCTTAAAGGGACCAGCCTGCTTTCTGGTAACAGGGCTAGGGTTCCCTGTTACAGGAGGTAAACATTAGAATTTGGGTTGCTTCCTGGACAAGTATGCCAGAGAGCCATAGGTTCCTGCCCATTCAAGATCAGTGAGAATTGACTCCTGAAACACATGTTTAGTTTTACAATGAGAGAGGGCTTCTTTAGTGCTCTGCTTAAACTTGTGAACCAAATCCTATATTTACTTTTCCATGTTGCCTACATTACAGAAGTATCCAGATGTCCTAGTTGATGAGATCAGACCCTGCTATGCTAAATGGAAGTGGATCTTGTCCCAAATAATTTACCATTTAAATTGACAAGACAAAGAATGGAGAATTAAGACTGAGAGACTGACTAACCTGAGGTCACACAGAAGCCCTGTGCAAGAACAGAGAACTGAACTTCCATCTTGAATCCTGGTTCAGTGCCTTGGTGCCATTCCCCCATAGGGCATGGTCATCTGAGTGTATCAAGAGTAGAGGAACTGGACTTTTGCCCATGGAGCTACCTCTTCATAAATGCAAATCTTTGACAGGTGCTATGTTGACATAATTGCTTTTAACTCACATGATCTCACCAAGCTCTGGAATTAAACTTACACCATTATTTATTTATTTATGGAAATTACCTGCTTCAGGCTGGGTATTATGAAAATTATTGGTGTTTTTCTAGAAATAAAACTGTAAACAAGTTTCTGCCTTGAAACTATAAACAGGCTAAAATGGGGATATTCCTTCCTGGTGATTTAGTGTTGTTTCTTTAAATAACTAAAGTCATACGTATTCACAATACAGCGTATAACATTCCAATTTAAAAATGGAAAAACTGGGCTCTGTGACCCAGCTACAAATCTTATACTCCAACCTTCAACCCTACCTTGGTCATAGATTCATAGATTCATAGATGTTAGGGTCAGAAGGGACTTCAATAGATCATTGAGTCCGACCCCCTGCATAGGCAGGAAAGAAGGATGGTTTCAGATGACTCCAGCCAGATGCCTATCTAACCTCCTCTTGAAGACCCCCAGGGTAGGGGAGAGCACCACCTCCCTTGGGAGCCCATTCCAGACCTTGGCCACTCGAACTGTGAAGAAGTTCTTCCTAATGTC